AATATTTTACAGCTGTTAAAAAGGGTGGGACAGCTCAATGTTGAGACAGAGACTCTGTGAGACACAGTGAGAAAAAGGCTGAGGGTGCTCCTGTGTTGATTTGTAGATAGTCCCTGAAAGGCTACATGAGAAACTGACAACAGGGGTTCCCTCTGGGGAGGGGACTCACTTGTCCCTCTATAACCTGTTCCTTTTGAATTTCGTAACATGTGCAACAATTGTCTATTATGCCAGATATTAATACATGCATCTATGGTCAATCATTTTTTTGTTTGTTTTTGGCGGCTGGCCAGTATGGGGATCTGAACCCTTGACCTTGATGTATGGTCAATCAATTTTTGACAAGAGTCCCAAGACCATTGAATGGGAGAAAAATAGTCTTCAGCAAATGGTGCTGGGACAACTGGATATCCACAAAAAATGATGTAGGTCACCTGCTTTTTACCATATTAAAAAAAAATTGGATGAAAATAGATAAAAGATGAAATGAATGATTTATTTATTTACAGTGAGCTATGACTATAAAGTTCTTAAACAGGAGGGAAAACTTCATGACATTACACGGGGTGATGGTTTCTGACACCAAAAGCACAAGAAATCAAAAGAAAAAATAGGTAAGTTGATTTCCATCAAAATTAATTTTATCAAGGTCACAGGTTCAGATCCCAATACCAGCCAGCCACCAAAAATAAATAAATAAATAAATAAATAAATAAATAAATAAATAAATAAACAAACTTTTGTCCTTCAAAGATACTATCGAGAAAGTGAAAAGACAGTCCACTGGGAGAAAATATTTGCAAATCCTTTATCTGAATAAGGATTTATTTCCAGAACTCTTACAGGTTGATAAGAAGATAAGCAACCCAATTAAAACATGGTCAGTAGCATTATTCACAATAGCCAAAAGATAGAAACTCCTGCCCATCAGCAGATGAATAAGCAAAATGTGATATATTCATACCATGGAATATTATTCAGCCATAAAAAGGAATGAAGTACTAACACATGCTGTAACATGGATGAACCTTGAAGACCTTATGCTAAGTGAAAGGAGCCAGACATAAAAGGCCACATATTGCATGATTCCATTTACATGAAATACCCAAAACAGGTAAATTCATAGAGACAGAAAGTAGACTAGTGGTTGCCAGGGGCTGAGGGGAGGTATGGAGGGAAGGAGGAATAAATTACAGTTTCATTGGTAGAGTTTCCATTTGGGGTGATAAAAAAAAGTTCTGGAAATAGACAGTGGTGATGGTTGCACACCATTGTGAATGTAATTAATGCCACTGAACTGAACAAGTTAAGATGGTAAAGTCTGTTATATGTATTTATTGCAATAAAAGTTTTTTTAAATGGGCAAAAGATTTGAATATGCATTTCACCAAAGGAGATATACAAATAGCCAATAAGCACATTAAAAGATGCTCATCATTAGTCATTAGGGAAATGCAAATTAAAACCACAATGAGGGCTGGCAGGTTAGCTCAGTGGGTTAGAGTGTGGTGCTGATAACACCAAGGTCAAGGGTCTGAACCCCCAAATCTCTGTACAGGCCAGCCACCACAAAAAACAAACAAAAGTACAATAAGATACCACTTCACACACACTAGGATGGCTAGAATTAAAAAAAAAAAAAAAAGAAAGAAAAGGAAAATCAGTGTTGGTGAGGATGTGGAAGAATTCATACATTGCAGGTGGGAATGTAAACAGGTGCTGCTGCTGTGGGAAAATCTGGCAGTTCCGTAAAAGTTAAACCGTTACATGACCCAGCAATTTTACTCCTAGGTGTACACCTAGAGAATGAGAATGGAGAACATATCCACACAAAAACTTATACGTGAATGTTCACAGCAGTGCTATTCACAAGAGCCAAGAGGTGGAAATAGCCCAAATGCCTCTCAACATGTGGAGGGTATTGACTAAGAAGTTATTAATGGGATAGAAATAAAACACACGTATTTCGCATGACCAAAGTCCTTGGTGTAGAAGGCCAAAGCTTGTAGTTTAGAGGACCAAAGTCCTTAGTCTGGGCCAAAGCCTATAGCTTAGAAGGACAAAGCCTGTAGTTTAGAGGACCAAAGTCCTATAGTTTAGGGGGCCAAAGCCCAACCCTTTAGGAGAACACGTAGAAGTGCTAAGATTGAAAAAGACGAGAAAACGTTCACAGGACTAAAGACTTTGATGTAGAGAAGAGAATTGAAGCACAGTGAAAAGTGATTGCTCTGGGGGCAGTTGCACTTGGTGCAGCTAAACCTAAACAACGGGAAAGTATGTGAGCTAAAATCTTCAAGGATATTCTGCTAGTTAGTACTTGGGGGACGTCCCATATCTTGCCCTAAGCTGTTTCTTTGAGTTTCTTGGGGAGTTAGATGCTTCAGTGATTATCTAATTGTTTCTTTTTGTATGTCACACAGCTTAGTTTTATGACTCTTTTTGATGGTAAATTGCTTAAACCATTTTAAGTTACACCTGCTTTAATGAAGATTGTCACTCACATAGCCAGTTTGTTTTCACTGATTGATTTACCACCTGTTTTTCTTCTGTAACTTTCTTGTCTTTACAATAAAAACTGAAGCAAAAACTGGCTCGGGGCTGTGCCTGGGCTCTCCTCCCTTGAAGGAGTTTTCCTCCGTGCAGTCCCTTTGGGCTTCTCATTGCTTTGAATACATGGGCTCTGAGTAATCTTTCGTGTCTCTGTTACTCTGCAAGAGGTGACATCAACAGAAGAACAAACACAATGTGCCACATGCACACACTGGAATATGATCCAGCCATAAAAAGGAATGAAGCACTGACACACGCTGCAACACGGGTGGACCTGGCAAACACTGTGCTAAACAGAAGAAGCCAGACACAGAGGCCGCAGATGGTATGTTCTTTAGATGAGATGTCCAGAACGGGCAGATCCACAGAGACAGAGCAGATTTGTGGGGCCTGGAGCTGGGGGAGTGGGAGAAACAGGTTGACTGCTGATGGGTGCAGGGTGCCTTTTTAGGTTTATGAAAATGCTCTGGAATTAGATAATGATAACAGTTGCACAAATGTGAATATACTAAAAGCCCCTGAACTGTACACCTTAAAACACTGAGTTTTATGGTAGGTTCATTATAAAATTTTATAAAACTTTCTTTTTTTTTTTTTTTTGTCTTTTTCTGTGTCCGGCAACGGATCGCAACCCTCAGTG